AAAAACGGCGTGCGGCTGCGGCACGCTCCTCACAGCCACGGCGCCCGGCTCTGCGTCCCGTGCTCCGACTGAACAGCTGGGTTTTTTTGGGTGGTGGTATTTTAGACTTTTTTTTCCCCTTTCAGAATAAACTAAAATAAAACCACATCGACGGTTAGGACCAAAGCGAGTGGATGTGGGAAGGGGACGATTGCATCTCCCCCCGGAAAAAGAATTTTCCACCAAGTATGTGACTTTCTTCTGCTAAAAGCATCATCAGTTTTCAAATTTCAGAGATGTCCTGAATGATTACAAAGGCTGTGGTTTTTAGAATATGTCAGAATGGGAAGGCGAGTACAACTTTATATAATAATCCAAATATATCAGACCTTGGATTTCAAATGCAGACTGACAAGAAACTGCAAGTGTGAGAGGCTCCTTCACTGGAGCCTCTTTTATCCAAGGTAAACAATACAAATGCTCACTCTGAAGGACTGTTGAGTAATCTGGTGACATCTCTTCATCAGGACTGATAACCCCATTAAAGAAAGAAACAAACCATTAATACTTTAAACAAAATACTCTTTATTATTAGAGTATTTTTTATTCAATGTACAGAACTCAAGATTGCTATTGAAAATTTTTATCATTCAAAGTTTTTCCCTCTAGGATGGTAATGCTGTCTCAGTGCATATGACCTCCCCCTCCCAAATTGCTCTGATCTACCTAGGATGGTAATGCTGTCTCAGTGCATGTGACCTCCCAAATTGCTCTGATCTATGAGCTGCACATGCTGCACGCTCTCTGTGTGCAAGCCAAGGGAGGTAATGCTGGGATGCAGCTGACATACAAAAAAATGCACTGCCAACAACACTTACACAGTCAGCTCAATGGCCAACGATCCAGAGAGCAGCATCACGTGGAGAAGTAGCCTTAGCAGCACAGGAATGAAAGAGAAAACAGTTCCTGACCACAAAACAGGAGTTGGTGACAGCTCCAGATGATGTGTACAAGCCTTAAGCCTTCACAGGGGTGGCAGAAGACTGCAAATCTAGCTGCTGGTTTGGAAGGGTTTTCTGAAGAATCCAGCGTACTGGGAGCAGGGATGCAGAAGTCTCACTGAAGAAGATGATGAAACAAGTGATTCTACAGCCCTTGGGTGCTTCCAACCATCACCATCCCAGGCTATGGACCGGCTTCTGCACCAGCATTTTGGCACCTACTTGTTCCTCCACCAGCATGGATAAAACTGAGCTCTTATTTTACACACAGGACAACACTAACAAAGTAGCACGTGTAGGTAGCTACACCCCTGCTGCCTCTACCTGCTGGGATCAGTTCCTTGAGCATATTGTGTAAGCAACTGCCATTGCCATCAGACTTCAAATATTCAAGCTTTATACTTGGCTTCCATCTGCACACAAATACAACAGCTAAGACCTGCAGTTCTGTAGTTTTATGTACTGTTCCACTGCTAAGCAAAATCTAATCAATTGTCAGCCTTTAATTACAGTAAGTTTCCTAGATTTTTGCTTAAAGAACTGACAAAAGTAGTTTAGAAGAACATTTGGTCAAGTCTATCACAGCAATGTGGTGAACTGGCACTCACCAACTGCCTCACTGTGAAAAGCCTGATGGCAGGTTTCTTTCAATGAAAAATCCAGATAATGAAGAGGTATGCAGATCTTAAATATCTGAAGCTAGGTGTGCAACCTTACAGAACAGAAGCTACAGTTACAGATGTAACACTAAATCTGATTAACCAATAGGGCATGGGAGCTTAAAAA